GGAAATCCTTAACTCCCTTGGGAGTTATGATATCCTTAACTCCCTTCCTTAACTCCCTTGGGAGTTATGAAAATCCTTAACTCCCTTGGGAGTTAAGACCCTGTTTATGATTATCGTAACCAAGGTATTATATGGTTTTAATAGTTCAGTAGGATATAAATAATTTTGATTTATGGCTTATTCCTTTATAAAAATAGACAGAATACAGTAAATTCAGTAGGATATAAAATTATCTATGTACCACGGGAATTATCAGGAGTTAATACCCACGGGCAATTGGTGTCCCTCGGGCCGGAGGCCCTCGGGACACAAACGTTGCCCTGGGGTATTAACACCTGCATAATTCCCTTGATACATAAATAACTATAATAGAAATTATGTGAGCGGTTACGTGTTCTCGTTTAGTTGAGGTGCTTCCTGAACATTTTCGGTTTCTTCCGGAAATTCTCAAGTTTGTTCTTCGAGTTGAAAGGAAGAACCCGCTCCTTCAAAGTCGTAATATTGATTTTCGGAGTTCTGATCAAAACTTTGATCGTATTCGTCATGCACTTCGGAATATTGGTTTATTTCAGTGTTCTACAATTCCTCTGAGATAACATTATTTTTTTGTTGTTGGTTAGGAAAACTCGGTCCTTGATTTTGAGAATTATTATTGTAAGGATTTCTCATATTATTAGTTGAGAATTGAAAAGTAGTATACTCATTGGAATTGGTTTTAGGAAATTTTTAGTTTGACCAGGGTTGAAAACATTTTGATTTTGTGGTTTTCCGAAAACCTGGGAATTTGTAAAGAATTTTTGAGGTTGCGGTGTTGATTGAACGTTAATCGGTTGTGAAGCAAAGGCATTATTTTGCCTCCTGAAGAAATCGTTAGGGGTGTGGTAAGGTAACTGGGACTATTAGAGTTCTTCTTCTTCTTTGCGGAAGCCTTAATGCTTATTTTACCCATTTATTTATCCCTCCTGGGATGTCGACGACCAGCTGTCCTTCCAGCTCTTGGGAGGCCGTCCTGGTGGTCTGCTGGATGCTGGTTTTCCATTTCTGGCGATTTTTGCGAGTGTGTGGTTTTCCATCCTGAATATGTGCTGGTTCCAGAAGCGTCTCCTAGCGCGTGTCCATCTAACCACGTCCTCTGTCTTGCAATCTTCCCTGATTTCGTTACTCCTTCTTTGATCCCAAAGTGTGATCATTCTTAGTACTCTCATTTCATTGGTTCGTGCCATCATTTTTGTTTCCGCTGTGTCAGCTCGTGTTTCTGCCGTGTATGTCATTACGGGCCTGACACATGCTTTTATTCTAACTTTGGTCGGGGTTGATATGCATGTATTTTTCCATATGGTTGTTCGTAAGGCTCCTGCTATCCTGGCTGCTTTGTTTACCTGGTTTCGTACGCCATTCTTGAGTTCACGGTATGGTGATATTGTTATTCCCAGATAGTTGAATTCAAAAACCTGGTCTATTATTTTGTTGTTTAGTTCTAGTTTGCATCTGCGTGGTTCCCTGGCAATCACCATGCTTTTTGTTTTGGTGGTAGATATTTCCATGTTAACTTTTTCGGCCTCTTTCTTAAATGCCTGTAAGAGCCATTGCAGTCCGTCTTCCGTGTCCGCGAATAGCGTTGCGTCGTCTCCCTAGAATATTATTTTAATTTGTTGGTTTCCCATCTTGTATCCCTGATCTATCTTGATGCATTAATACATAAATTAATTAAAAAGCATAGATTGTATCTTCTTTCTTGCTGAATGTGCAGAACGTTGACTTCGATTTTACGTGGTATTATAGGGGTAGATGGTCACATAATTTATGGTATAAAACATAGAAACATAAAGGTGTATCACCACATTCCAATGACATCACATTCTCCCCAGGCATATTTTGAAAAATCTGTGTTTTGAAACATAATCTGTCAAGTACTTTGGAGTTCTGTGCTGATGGTTTTATCTGGGTCGGACTGATATGAATTCATCTCCGGATGTGTCCAAGTGTGGATTTTCTTCCGGATCATCATTCTGATTATCAGGTGTTTGTGCATCTTGTTTATAAGAGTTACTTTCTTGTTCTGGTTCGTTACAAGATTGAAACTGTGATTGAAAGTGATGTTCACTATCATCATCGTCATCAAATGCAGGTGCACTTCCACGTGGTGCTAGATGTGTTAGATTGACAGTATCTTCTCTCGTTCTCTGCCATCGAGAAAACGAACAAACGCATAATCTGGGTTTGCTTCCAGCAAGTACACCTCCTCCACAAACGGGTCGTATTTACTTACATTCTTTTTCATCCAACAGGACTTGAAAGCCAGAAAGGAATAGCTTGTCCGTTGCTAGATTTATGAGAATGTTTAAACATGCGTTCATGAGGTGTTGGATTTGTTGCAACACACAAGAGAAATCGGATCAAAATGCAATGCACCTTCGAGTACCCTCTTCCATTGTTCTGTTTTCAGGCCACGAGGCTTCAGTGCGAGCCAAAATGTTCTTCATATTGTACCATTAAATATTTCTACTTAACCATTGCCTTCCAGATTATAAGCAGTAATTTTGCTAGTGGCTATACCTTTTGAATGAGGATATTCCTTCAGTTCTTTTGACATGAAAGAGCTTCCTCGATCAGATTGTATGTACCTACGAGGCCCGAGGGCATTCCAAATATTGAAAATAGATTTGTGAAACATTTAATCACAGTCCCTGCAGTCATATCAGGGCAGGCGTAAGCAAAAGGGAATTTTGAGAATTCATCTAAAATTGTTTATAGGTAACGATTTGTTGGGGATGTTGGAAGAGAACCTTTAAAATCAATGTTGAGCTTTTCGAATGGTCTGATTGATTTTATTAGTATTCCTTGATTTTTACTGAACGTCGGCTTGAGCCCTCTCTAAGGGCCAAATTATGGACCAACTGGTAAGTGTCTGGTTGTTACGTAGCAGGTACTTTCTATTATCTAGAGCATAAAAAGTACCTGCTTGGTAACAACCAGACGTTTACCAGTCAGTCCATAATTTGGCCCTAAATAGTGCAGGCTGCGGTCATTTTTCGTACATCGTCTATGGAATAAGGTAAATTTCGAGATCGAATCTACTAAAACATATTAGTTATTCCAGGATGACAAAGTGCATCATGTAGCTCCTACAATTTATTGCCAGTTGAAGCCTCACATACAAAGTATCGGTTACGATATTCTCATTTTTTGGACGGTAGACTATGTCATATGAATAGCATGAGAGTTCGCGTCTCCAGCGTTGAATTTTTCATTCTTTATTTTACTACTATACTTCGTGTCGAACATGAATGAGACCGATCTTTGATCTGTAATCGACTTGAAATGCCTTCCAATAAGAAAGTGACGCCATTTTTTCAGAGCTTCTACAATTGTCGTGCTTCTTTTTCAACTGCTGAGTGGTTTTGTTCATGATATTATATGATAGAGTTTTTGAGAAAAACGCAACTGATCGTTCATCAGACTGGCTTAGAATTAGAACCACAAATGGAATGTTTTCTTCAATGGCAGTGACAGCTGATTTTGCTACTTCAGTTTTCAAGTTGCGAAAATCGGTGATAGCAGGCTCTTGCATAGGAAAGTTTCTGGTACTAACAATTCTATGAATTTTCTTGGAGAATCTAGGCATTTAGAGTAATATGCGAACATGCCCACAGCTCTTTGAAGTGAAGCTTTGTCAGTTGGTACTGGCAGATTCTGTAGAGGTTCAAGTCTTGCAGGATCAGGTTTAAGTGTTCTGTTTCCTATAAGATATCCCGGTAGTTGAATTGTTTTTTTGTTGAACGAACTTTTACTTTTATTTATAGTTAGGTTGTACTTTTTAACAGCTGTCAGAAAAGCTTATAGATTCTTATCGTGTTCTTCTTGATTTTTTCCAGAAATTGTCATATCATCGCGATATGCGTAGACGTCTTCTAAATTCTCTTATCTGATTATTGTATCTAAGACAAGATACTCCGTTAGTCACACCAAAAGGGATACGATTAAACTGGTACAGGTTTCCATCAGCTTTAAAATCAGTGAACTGTTTTCCATCATCTCTTATAGGGAACTGGTGATACGCACTTTCTAGGTCAATAGTGCTAAAAACGTCAAATTTTGAGACTGCTTTCACCAACTCTTCGATATTAGGTGAAGGATAAGCATCTAGATAAGTAAACTTGTTGATTGTTTGAGAATAGTTAACATAACCATTTTCTTTTTATGATTTTCGTTCTTTGTCACAAGAATTTGTGCTCGCTAGGAAGGCGTACCCTAGTTTCTTCAATGATACTTTCTGAAAGAAGCTTTTGTACTTTACTTGAAATAAATTTGGCATCATCATGTGAAAATTTTCTCGATTTTGTAGCGATTGATTCACATTGTGATGAAAGATTAGCGAATAATTGCGGGGGTTCAATTTTAGCAGGAGCTAGAGAACAGTGCTTTCTTTCTAGTACAGTCATCGCAGATTTTCGTCCTCCAAAATAAACGGTCAACATTTTATGTTGCTTAAAAATGTCATGACCAATAATAATATCAACGCAGAGGTCTGGTAGAACCGAAACTTTTACGTTTGCATACTGAAGATCAAGAATGTTGAGGTTGACAACACAAAATCCTTTCCTTTGTGCACGCAGAGAAGTTTGAGCCATAGACACGTAGCTCTTTACTACAAACAGTAGAGAAATGGCCTTTTTTACTGTATTGTTTGCATGTAGCATGCAGGGCAGGACAAAGAGAGCGATCATGTCTTCTATCTTTGTTGCTGCACTCGAGGATTTTCCGTGTTATTAGAATTGATGAAACTTGTTGAAGCTGTTTGATATACCTCAGAATGTTTTTGAGCAGATTTCAGAGAGAAAGCTTGTGATGTTGCTTCATCTGAAGTAAGTCTTATCTTGTTTGCAGAAAGTGCTCGCATTACTTGAGAATTGAATGAAATATTCTCCAGAAATTGCAATTAGAAATCCCACAATGTTAAAAAATAATGAATTTGTCTCAAATATAATGAATTTTTTAAGGCCTTCTCCAACCGTCGGAGCTCTCCATGGGCAAAATCCCAAGATCCAGAAGCCGCGTCCTTGGACAACTCCTTGAAAAAGTCCGGCCTAACGTCCAGGAACGCGAAAGAAGTAAATCAGCTGGACAAACTGAGAAGCCTAGCAGCACTCCATTACCTAAAACGCCTAAAAAAAGTTTTTCTGGTAGTTCTAATCAAATGAATGTGGATAGCGTTTCTCGTTTTGAAGCTCAAATCAGAGAAAAGCTTCACGATATTATGTGTAGAAGGCAAAGCCAGCCGTCGTCGAAATCTGAAACTGAAATGGATAAAAAATTGAAGCAAGAGGAAAGAAAGTTTAGCAAGGCTGATGCCGAAGGACTTGGTAAGCAACAATCAAGTATGTGCATGAGTTTTCCTTGATTATTATATACTTATTTCAAAAACATAATTCAGGTAAATTAACAATGAAGCAAAGAATACTTTATAAAAAGATTGGTAAAAGTTGCGACAAAATCAACGCAATGGCTGAAAAAAGATGCAAATCCACTGAGTCTGAGTATCAAAGAATTTCTGATGCCACCTCTCAGAAAAGTAAGCTACACGAAACTAGCAGATCCAGCCCCAGTAGCCCTAAATGTAAAAATAAAGGCAAGGGACAAGGAAAAACTAAAAAGAAGGTAAACGATTTGTTTGATTAAAAAAAAAAACTTGTCATTATAGCATTGCTTCTAGGTTTACCCTTACAGCGACGGAGAAGACAATATTTTCTATTCACTTAACGACTCGGCTGATTCTTTATCAACGTCTTCTCGACGATCCAGCCTGGATGGTGCTGCAGGAGATGGCAATGATCCAGATAAAACTCTGGTAGTTGTCATTAACAGGTAAATTATTTTTTTTGTGTTAAAATCTAGTATTTTTGGACTTTTTATTTTAGGAGGCAGAAAGGGACTGCTCAAACTCTGGCCCAGAAGCAACGCAGCTGGGAGACTTTTCCTCCAAAGCACAAGAGACATCACGTGTGTCAGTCCAAGCTTAGTGCTCCTACTCAGCCAGCTGCTTTGAGGAAAACGGACAGTTTCGAAGGTAAGTTTGATTTGAATTTTGTGAAGGTAGTGCTGCAAACTAATTTTGCATAGCTGCTAAATCAAAGACTTCATAGTATTTGCAAGTTTTAATAGGGAGTATGTAAGGAAATACCAATACTTAAAAAAAGTAGTTTCCAAAAAGTATGAAGGATATTGATAGCTGTAACATTAACTACTAAAAGTGTCTGAAAAATTAGTATGAACTTGTGTAATCTAGTTTTCTTCTGGTTGTCTTTGTCGGATCCCGTTGTTAAGATTCTTGTTTTTTTTCTGTATGTACCAAAGTCCATTGAGACAGTTAGTTTTTCTGGGGCTCGACATAAAGTGGCGAACGTGACAGGATTTGGTTGCATTTTTCTGTGGAAAAACGGTACCTAGACGTAGAGCGGTTCATTCTAGTTGGAAAGACTCTCCGAAACGTATACAGAAAAGCAACTTTCACTCTGTTTTCAATGTAGTTGGACCGAATTTCGGTCTGGAAAATTTGAAACGTGAGTGTTTTTGAACTAGCGGTCCCCTTGTAGTATTTAACAGCAGTTTTAATGCTTATAAGCCGTTGTTTTTTGGACTGAATTCATCTACGTTTTGAACTAGATTGGTTTTGAACCCAGGCAAGTTCATAGTGTGGTTACTTACACAGATAACCCAATTCTACTCAAGTTTGAATAGTACATATTTTTCCTCAACTTTGTTCTGTATTTTTTGGTTGGACAAACATTTGAAAAAACATGGAAGACTTGAAGAAACAAAGAAAAGTCTTACGTTTATCGTTTATCAAGAAGGCTAAAGAGCTAGATAAACTAATCGTGCACAAAGCCTGCAAACAAGAAGTGCAAGTGTTCTAGGAATTGTTTATTGAGAAGTCCAACAAGTTGGGTGATCTGCACGAAGAAATTTACTGCTTGATGCTGAAAGAAACGAGTGAGGAGGATCTACTGGCAGAGATGGATTCATGTGAAGCCTACAAAAAGAGATATTTGGGTCTGAGCCTCAAGTTCACCGAATTCCTCGAAGATAAGTCAAAGGCTGAATCTGAGAGTCAATCAATAGCTAACCAGTCAAGTAATTCAACTAGCAGCGACAAAGGTAAGCGCGAATTCAAAGTTCCTACTATAGAATTCAAAACTTTTGATGGTAGGTAATATTAAAAATTAGCTGCCATTTTGGTCACAATTTAGTAAGGTGCGGGACGATCCTGAGATAGATTTAAATGAAAAACTAGAATATTTGATGCAGACTACATTACCAGGCAGCAGAGCGAAACAACTTGAAAGTTTTCCTTCTCGTTTTGGCAAGGATGATTTGCAGATAGAGGTATATGTATGTGAACTACTCAAAATCATTGTAAACAAAGCTCTTTCTAATGGTAGAATGGATTTAGTGGAATTTTAGCATAGAGACTTAAATGCGCGCTTTGGACACTCTGGGCGTTAAATCTGATAGTTGTTCTGCAATGTTATTCTCACTTATATTGAGTCATGTTTGCTAGAAAATTTGTTAAGGGTGTGGCAACGCTCATCTCTAGCCAATACTATTCCTACCGGTTCCCAACAAAGTGTAAATGGTTTTTCTATCACTAGATTGAATAATCTAATGCAGTTTTTGCGCAAAGAGGCCGACAATGAACAGAGGATTTTTGAGCAGGAACTTCCCACTGCTACTGGTCTTATTAACCATAAAAGACCTTTAGTTTTGAACAAATGAATTTTTTGTGAGAACAATCATGATAGTCACAGCTGTTTTAAAGCACAACATTTTTCACTAGAAAAAAGGAATGAAATTGTTACTTCAAAAAAGGCGTGTTTTCGGTGTTTGAAGATTGGACACCAGCGCCGAAAATGTCGAGCCCGTTTGAAATGTATTTCTTTGTGGCAAATCCTATGTAACTTCAACGTGTTCTAATTTGCCAGTTGATGATAGCCCAGATGTCAAAAAATCTAATCAGGATTCTGTGGAAATGTTAACTTGTACTAATGGGACTTCTTGCCATGTGATTCTCCAAACTTCACTGGCTACAATTAAAGGAGTGTATGGGTTCAAGAACGTACGAGCACTAGTGGATACAGGTTCTCAAAATAGTTATATTCTAAAAAGTACAGCAGAATTGTTGGGCTACAAATCCAAGCGTCAAAACACAGTACAGTGTTTGTTTGGAGGAGCAATTACACAGTTGAAACATGATTTTTATGATGGTAAATTAAGCCATGATTGTTATAGCTGTCCTTTTGAAGCCTTGTCGCAGCCTGTTATTTGCTTTGACATTTCACCTGTGTTTGAGGGCCCTTGGATGGAAGAATTGAAGAAGTTAGGTATTCAGCTTAGTGATTGTTACGATGCTTCCCCTATAGAAATTTTGATTGGATCGGACGTTGCTGGCAAACTCTACACTGGACGAAGACATATTTTGAAGCGTGGGCTGGTGGCCATGGAAACATTGTTAAGCTAAACACTGATGGACCGAATACCTATAGACAAAACTAAAAATGAAATGCCAGCACTGCTTGTTATGACATTTAAAAACTGTTTTGGGGAAAGCCCCATAGAAATATAAACACAGTATGAAACGTTTCAAGTTCGAAAACGTTTAAGCGGTTGAAACGGTTTAACGGAAGCATAAACTTGGTATGTTACAGCTATTTCTTTGTTTGTTAACGACGCATCACTTACTCAATTTTGGCAGCTTGATACTCTGGGTATAAAGGAACCTACCGAAAAGCAATCACGTGACTAATTGACTCAAGCAGCTACAGAATTTTTCCTTGAATCGGTGAATATTAATGAAGATGGACGGTATGAAGTCAGACTACCTTGGGCCAAGGGACACTCTCCTTTGCCTACAAATTATCATCTTGCCAAGAAACCTCTATCCAGCACTTTAAACAAATTGGTAAATAATGACCTTGTAAATTCCTACAATCAAATTTTCAATGAATGGAAAATGAACACGTCATTATAAAGGACATTTCAACAAGATATTCTATATCCGATGATGTTGCTCATTATTTGCCACACAGAGCTGTAGTAAAAGAGGGTAGTACCACGCACAGGTCTAATCTGCCTACGATTTCGATTTTCGACAAGGTAAAATAGGAATTATAGCAGACATACGCAAAGTTTTCTTTAGATCGGTATACATGAAGCCGACAGATTTTTTACGTTTCCTCTGGATGGATTCTAATGGTAATGAGGTGTTCCGTCCGGACACTGCCACTTTGTTACCCGCAAAACGTAAGGGAGAAGTTAATGATAAGATTTGAGGAAGTGGGACAGAGAATGGGTAACTAAATCAAAAGAAATAAAAAGAGAAGAGAGAGGGTTGGTTGGTGGCTGAAATCTAGAAACGTGATTTCGTGTAAAGGGTTGCCGACTAGCTTCCAATGCGGAGAGGGGGTGGGTTAATTAAATAACTAAATATAGAGCGCCACCTGCTTTTTCCCTGCAGTACACGAAATCAACCGATATAACGAAAGCAGGAAACTTCTACGGAACTATAGCAGCACAACCTGAAATAAAAACAAGAAGGAGGGACAAAAGTGAAACGCTTTGCTACAATCAGGTACGGGTTTTAATTAGAACCAGAACAGGTTGACTCCAGAGCAGGTTCGGAGTGAGTTTTCCGAACGCCCTGGAACACTGAATGACACTGGAACCAGAACAGAACAAGAAAAGAAATTGTCCAACCATATGTTCTTACAATATTATTTATAATAATTATTAATTATACTCAACTTGAGTCCCTAAATAAAAAAAAAAGAGTAATGACAATTAACAACAATAATACCTGAAATATTAATTAATAAGCAAGCTCATTTAATGCAGTACCTTCGTAAATGGCCATTTAACCCTTAGAGCAGGTAAAGCGCTGTCCTACGGACATAAGGAGTAGGAACGCGCCATTCTGCTTATGAAACTAAAGTGAAGCTAAGTTTTTGGCAGGTGTTTGGCACCAAAATACAGGTAGAGCATTGAATTGCCATAACCGCCATTTTTTGTGGGCCAAAATACCTGGAAAAAAACGGCTTCATTTTTCAAATCCAGGTTATCACTTCTTTACCTTTACCTGCTCTAAGATTTAACCCCAGTGTACAAGTATTTACCTGTATTCAGTGCAGCATTGATCAAAGTTGAAGTAATAATACGTAACCTGAAGGGCTTTAATATTATGTAACAATATAGGTAGTATAGATACCTAATAAAATTGAAATACCTAATAATACCCAACCTGAATGGTAAATTTAATATAGTAAAGGTACGATATATAATTGATTAAAACTGAAATAATAACATCTAATCTGAAGGATAATTTTAATATAGTAGAACTGCGTTGTTGTGGTGATTTACTCCAACAAGAGGTTGGTAAGGTTTGATATTAAGACAATGCAACACACTTATCAAACCTGAGTAGTCCCTAAACTCTTGGGGGAACCTGACGGATGGAACTAATATCTTCCAGTGTTTCCGATGGCCTGGGTTTGGATCAAGGCCGCAACAAGAAGCCACTGGCCCTGGGCACTGAAGTTCAGCAATTAGGAGTCACTAAAGCTTCCAATGGTCTAGAGGAGGCTGAAGATTGGAGGTACTACTTGAAACACACCGTAAGCTCAACGTTTAACTCTTTACTCAAGTTAAGGACTAAGCGTGACGAATAAAAGGTGACGATTAAAACGTAACGTCTAAGAATGAAGATTAAAGGCCTGAAACAAATGGACGTTATGAGACAGAGCGTGGAGCAATAGGTAGGTTTTGTCCGATATTCGGAAGTTGACCGTATAATTAACAGAAAACTATACTTTTACATAGGAAATAGAGAAACACAGAGAAGATTAATAAGAAAAACCACTTACCAAAATTACTTTTGGCCTTTAGGAACAAACAATTGACCACGTTGCTCTTTTTCGACTCACAAAAAAAATCTGCACAAGGCGATTGGGTGCTAAAATAGCGGATTAGCCACCCTAGATCTATGAGCGAAACTTGGCAACTCAGAAATCGGCAAAATGTGCCTGAGGAGTTTTCCCGAACACTTAATCGTGGAAAGTCCTCGACCTGAATGACCTCTGCTTGTCCCTGCAATGTCCTTTAAAAAGGTTCTGTCAAAACTCCAAGGTGGAAGGTACTGGGGAATTTTGATGGTAGTCGGGGCATGGGACTTATTCAAGTTAAGTTAGTACCGGTCATTGACCCTATTTGGAGCGCTGTCAATCTAATCAATCTACTCGGATCAGACAATCAGCTGTTCTAGTGTAAATATTGTGATTTTGTTTGTTAATAAATTAATTGTCTATTTATTTTAACCCTACTAACAGGAAATCAATTCCATTAATAAACCTCTAACTTAATGATTCTGGGAAGAATGAAAAGTTTGATGAAAAGTGTGGCTACAACTATTGGATAGAAAACAGTGGCTTGAGGAAGGTATGCTATTCAAAGAGGTGAATAAGCTTATTTCCTTTTATTTTGGTGCGGGAAAAATCATCCCGTAACAATATGCAAGTATGCTTTGGAGTCAGTAGTAGTCCATTTTTGCTGGCAGCCACTCTTGAGTATCATCTTGCCAAGGCTCTTCTTGAAAAGTGACCCTATTGTAAGGAGAAATAGGAAAAGTTATCCAAGAGCTTTTATGTAGATAACTGCGTGACAAGTCTTTCACATTGAAGAGTTTTATACAGGGGTTTGATTTGACGTTTGACTTCCGAGAGTGGGAGTTCTCTCACTAGCTGGAAGTCACTGGTTCTTCTCAACACATCAGGAACTAGGAATGATCTGGCAAACTGAAACTGACATGCTAAGCATAAGTAAAGAGTGCTTAAAAGTATTTACTTAAGTAGTTGACAATATAATCGTGTAGCTGAGATTAGACGGCACACCTCAGTCAAGATATGGCACCATGTTCCGGGAACGCTAGATGGTTGTTCATCTTGCTAAAAAGTTATTAGAATCAAAATGGTGGGAGGGCCCAAGTTGGAAACCCAGAATCTTGGCCTCAAGGCACAATTCAATTTAATGAGGAAGAAATAAACCGTGAAAAAAAAAAAAAATTGGTGATAGCATTAATTAATACAAATTCTGCAATAATTATGACCTTTCAAGATTGGCACTTGGATTATTTTTCAAAGTATTTCAAAACGCTTCGTATGGTTGCATGGCTGTTCAGGTTCCTGTATAATACATGAAACCCACTGGATCAGCACTATGAAGAACTGTCGATGGAAGAAATTAACGGAGCAGATATATTTGTTTTACAGTTAGTACAAACGGAAAGTTTTGCAGGAGTTGAAGAGAATAATTTGTCGACGCTCAATCCATTTAAAGACAAAGATGGTCTTATTCGTCTGAAACAAAGATAAGTTCTAGGGATGACAATGAACATTTAATATTTCCGGTGGTATTGCCCTCCAAGCATCCTATAGAATATTGTGTTTGATACCCACGTAAAACATTGCCATGTTGGAATTCAAGGACTTATGTCTAATCTGCGTGAGAACTTCTGGGTCTTGGGTAGTCGTCATGCAATAAAGTCGGCAATATCAAGATGCTGCGTGTGTGAGCGACATAATAGCAAACCGTTTCAGTTCCATCAAGCAAGTGTTGTTCCATTACCTTTGGATCGCGTTTGCGACGCAGCAGTATTTGAGGTGACCGGTGTGGACATTGCGGGCCCATTGCATTTGAAAGGCAGTGAAAAAGCCTGGATATGCCTTTTCACCTGTGCGGTACACTTTGAGCTATGTACTTCGTTATCGGCGACAAATTTTTTGCTAGATTTGCGATAATTTATCGCACGACGTGGTTAACTACAAACTTTGTGGGGATAGATAACGCGATTGGAAAATTGGACTGGAATAGAATCGTTTCCGAAAGTTGTGTTGACCGTATCACCTGGCGATTTAACTCTCCTACTACGTCCTAGTGGAGCGGCTTTTGGGAAAGACTTTATTGGTGTGTTGAAATAGCTCTTGCGTAAAACACTTGGACGTGCATGTCTTAACTAAGAAGAGTTACTTACTGTTTTGTGTGATTGTGAAATGGTCATAAATCCGCGACCATTAACCTATATATCGACAAATGTTTCAGAATGGAACTCCTTAGGCCAATAATGTTTCTTAAACATAGACCTGAGAATGGTGTTCCAGCTTTAGACCTGGTTAGTGGTTGACAGTCCTTGTGTCAACAAGTGACTCTTCAGAAGAGACTACGGTAAGAATTAAAACGCGGATTTCGCAGCGAATATCAACTTGAATCTTTCCATAAGGCAAAATCCGGACGCAACATAAAACTTGGAGAAATTGTCTTGATTGTTAACGATTTGCACAGAAATGTTTAGATTGGCCTTTGGGATAAGTTACTGAATTGTTGACTGGCAAAGACAACCAAGTGCGTTTGGTGAAATTGACTACTGACTGAGGTCAACTGTTACGGCCTATTCAGAGACTTTATGATTTGGAATGTGTACTCCATGAAGCCCCTAGAAAACGTTACTATGATTTCAGTGTGGTTGATGATTCGAAATCAGAATATATGGCCGCGTTCACCAGATACGAACGTTGGTAAACGGTTTGCGATTGTTCTGCTGAACACTACGTTGAATTTGTGTTAAAACCAAACATGTTTTCCAAACGGTCGCCATTTTTGCAAGCATAATTTCAGAGTGTTTATAATTTTCAACACTGTGTTTTGTGTGGTGACCTGTCATTCAGAAGGTGACGTTCTATGATTGAAAAGTTGAAGCGTTCAGCAGAATCAAGAGTTTGCCCAACATATTCTGTTGGTATTTGTAAACTGTTTACAATCCGTTTTGGTTCTGGTGAACGTAGCCTATCACGATGATGAAAGACTGTCGTCCTGAAATCTCAGCGACTTGTGAAAATCGTTCGGGTAGTGCGGGAGTGAAAAATAATGCATCCGTTTCGTCAGTAAAGGAAGATACCGTTCACGTTATTCACAATGGTCGTACCATTCACAAACCCAGAAGATTATTGTAGACTCTTAGTTTAACTTTTGTTGGATGTAACTATAATATGAATCTTGTATTTTTTGAATGAAACTTATAGTACCATATTGAACGAGGTACTGAAATGAGACACTGTAATAAAAAATGTCAGAAGTGTCTCAGGTGGGAGAATGTCGGATCCTGTTGTTACGATCCTTGTTTTTTTCTGTATGTACCCAGTACCTACGACTTTTTTAATTGACAGTGTCACTCGATATTTAAATTTACCTGTGAAATTTACTAACCAGCAAATATTTTTGAAATCACATATATTCTATGATCACATACTCCCCTGAGCATTTTGTATTTATTCAACTTAAAGAAATTTGGGGTTATTTTATTCATTTTATTAGACTAATGCAAGTACATATACCTAGAATTATTGTGGTATTGCCCTGTGAAATAATACAATATTTTTCTTTTTCGTATTCTTCTTGGTAATTTAACTTCCATTACAATTTATATCCAGAGTACTCGTTCTAGGCCACGAGGAGGCGGTACGTAGCCTCGTAGCGGCGGTGCAGGAAACTCGACGCAAACCCAAGGGCGGCAATTAACAACAGCTGACAGAGGAAAAGCAGCGGCCAAAGAAGCGCCAAGACGTCAAATACACTATGGAGTTTTTAATGTTGGCGTATTTACAACGCAGACATTGAAAGTATTAGAGTTTATACTAATACTAACAGTGGATAGAAATTGAGAGGTTTTTGGACTTATTGCGATATACTTTCTGTTAACATAGCTATTACACATAATCAAAATAGATTTCAGATTTTTTAAAATTTATTCAGCAAATACATACATACTTTGAACTGTTTTGGCATTTTCAATAAAATACAAATACCTAAAACATCAAAAACCATCCTCAAAAAACTCATTATTTCTCTCTGCTACTAAATACTCAGTGAACGTGGAATATTTACAATTACATATTAGCTAATTAAATTAAAAATTAATCATTTACACGAATACTTAATAAGATGATTACTGAAAAAGTTATACAGGGTGTTAGAATATTAAACCCCTCATATACTCCTAGTTGTTAACATTTCAAAAGAATCCGAATAGCCTTTATGGAACTGAGTTGCCATCCAGATGTGCTTCTTTCCAGGTACTCTGGGTGGCACATTTTGTAGTTTTCAACAAGCCTATCTAGTTACAGATTACAATTTGTTAAAACAATTTAAAAAAGTTTATTAGATAGACTCAAATATACGTATAATCAAAATAAAGTTCCGTAGCTTACGTACCTATTGAAAATTCGTGTTTTTCAATGTTGATATACCGGAATCGGAAAATAGTTGCTAAGTTAGATAATTTAATTGTTTAAGAACTGTTCAATCATAGGATAACAATTTTACAAATTGGGTCGATAGAAAATATGCACTTTATATTTTAATTGTGTGCGGATTATTCCTTGATAAAAGTCTACCGGGTGTCTACGAGATCAGTTTCGCACTGGCATTTGCTGGTTTTTTTCTCGATGGCAAAGATTTTTGGTATGGAGTGTAGGTTTGAGAAATGTCATCTTTTAACATGTGTGTCAATGTTTGGTAACTTCCGGTTTGACCGGAAATGGTCCTAACTCCGTAATTTTGAATAGCACCCCAATAATTTTTTCGCATTTTTGGTATCTACGGATCATGATGTGTACGAAAACGTCAAATTTGAACATTTTTGAAGAAATTTTAGAACTCTGGATGAAAATTTATTTTTGAACAGAAAGTGACGGAGCGGTCTTGAATTGTTATTTTTAACCCACACAATGGTAGAAAAATGCGAGTGCCAAGATGTTATCCTTTGCTTGCTCTCCAAAGGCATCCAAAGTTGAAAAAATCACATTTTGCGTGATAACTCAATAAAATCAGTGAAATCACCCAACTTTCACAACAAGAGTTTTTTACCTTTTTCAAAATAAAACCAACTATGCATTGAAACTTTTCATTTATGTTAGTTTTTAATTATTTTCTTATTATTTTTATAATGCACTACCTACTATAAATGTTAAAACTACTTATAAATGAACCCCTGTATGAAGAACGCTTTTCAAAAGGAGCAAGGAGCTGGTGTTTTTTTTTTCTTGACAAGCCATTGACAAGATCTGTGGGCAAGAGGCAAGATATGTTTATTTGTCATTGTTTGACATCTCGGGAATTTGTAAATACAAAGTTTGAATACAGGGGTTTATTTATAAGTAGTTTTATCAGTTATAGTAATGCATAGTAAAAATATTGGAAAAATAATTAAAAACTGGTATGAATAATAGTAGATTATACCATGAGTCAATAATGATAGCTATTATTCCCGAGGTATATTTACGAACTGAGCCGCGTTAGTGGCGAGGGAGTAACATTCCGAGGGAATAATAGCCATTATTGCGAGTAGTATACTCTACTTTATTTACGACAAATTAATTTATTTGAGATTTTCAATCAACAAATTTTATCCGTTTCATAATTTTCAATACAAATCCACAAGCACTATACGTTTGACACTGACACTTTTGTGGAATAATGACCATTAATCCCGCTACTCGTCATTAATCCCTGGAGGAATAACATATATCATTATACTGCCAAAATCACAAATATAATACGCACATTATACATTAGTCGTAAATAAAAAGTTTTAATGCATAGTTGGTTTTATTTTGAAAAAGGTAAAAAACATTTGTTATGAAAGTCGGGTGATTTCACTGATTTCATTGAGTTATCACGAAAAATGTGATTTTTTCAGCTTTGGAAGCCTTTGGAGAACAAGCATAGGATAATAACTTGGTATTCGCATTTTTCCACGATTGTGTTGGTTGAAAATAACAATTTTAAGACCGCTCCGTCACTTACTGTTCAAAAATAAATTTTCATCCAGACTTCTGAAATTTCTTCAAAAATGTTCAAATTTGACGTTTTCGTACACATCATGATCCGCAGATACCAAAAATGTGGAAAAATTATTGGGATGCCATTCCAAATTACGGAGTTAGGACCATTTCCGGTCAAACCGGAAGTTACCAAACATTGACACACATGTCAAAAGATGACATTACTCAAACCTACACTCCATACCAAAAATCTTTGCCATCGAAAAAAAACTCACCAAATGCCAGCGCGAAACTGATCTCGTAGACACCCGGTATAGTTTCTATCGATCCACATATAAGGCCTCAAAAGCTTTACAAGATTCTAGAACCATAGACCTAAATACTTAGGATTAGACCGCGCTACACATCATTTCATGCTACCACCTTCTATAAGGTCGCTAACAACTTTATTTGCATCACAAGCTTTCAATTGGCTCACTTTTGACTCTTTATCTTTCATAGTAGGTATTTAGGTCTATGCTCAAAATATAATTGAAAAATAGATAAATCAATTAATTAATTATTGTTATTATTGTCCTAAAAGTTCTATATCGATTTCTGTGATCTTTTAGGGTTTTATTACATGCTGCCAAAAATGGGGATTATTGATAATTTTAAGGCAAGTTAACTTTGGTTTTAGTTACTAATTCAGTCTTTTTTGAATATACGTCGTTGATTGCTGAGACTGGATGTTAGAGTGTGTCAATTTGAACTCTTACTACTGTTTTTTATTCCAAAAATTGATTTTTTTACAAAAACAGTGTTAGTAAACGTCCTGTACGTTGTTCATCTCGATGGAAATCGTATCCAGATTTCTGAGACGTCAAGGTATATTGATCCTATTTTATGTAAAAAATCTCAGTTATATGAATAAATGTTAATTATTTTTTCATCAATGTTATTGAGCTTCAATCAATGATATAATAAGAACAAGTCTACAAATTGATATGCTGTCTGCATTTTTCTTTATTCTTCCTTCAAAGGAGCTGTGATTTTTTTTCCACATGTACTGATTTATCCCCAATCATCTTTATACTGTATGTCCTGAAATGGAGCCAGCTTGAGCGCTGACATATCGCATTCTTTCTCTCTAAATTCATAGATGTTGATTGGGGATGAATCACTTGACGTCAGCAATTTTATATTCTCATCATATTCAATGTTAAATTACATAAAACTTGAATTTATTAGTAATTGTCCTCCAATTATCAGTACCTATTAAGTTTTTTGAATTTTTGGTCTTCCATTGCTGTATTAAGTTGTCTATAAGAGAGTTATACAAAATAAACGTTAATAACTTTATGAATAACAAATTGTTTTTGTCCGTTAGTTTAATCTAACCCAGATCAAATTTGCTAGGATTGCTGGAAAATTATATAAGGCCTTTCTTGATAAGAGATTGATATAAAGACTACTATCCGCTATTGGTTCGAATAAAAATTATAGAATGAGAAGATAGTCTCAAATAGCATGCACTTGGGTTGAGACTAACCTGAGTGTTAGGTAACTTAAGAAGTTTGTATACAAAATATTGAGTTATTCAATCATTGATTATACATATAGGTCATAGGAAGATGCTTATCCCTATGGAAAGCCCAGCTGTATGAAAATTGATGAACTTCAAAGACAAAGCCCCAGAATTGAATCTACATAGATATAGGATAACTACTTATACTCAACTGTATCATAATATCAATCTAAAAGAGGACTACAACAAACATAACAAAAATTTTGTTTCGTTTCAATTAGATTATTTGTCCAACATTTCTACTACAAATCCTGCATTAATTGGCCAGTATGGAGTTTGGGAGGTGCCAAATGATGATTTTAAGTTAAAATCTCTTGGAAATTTCAACATTACTGGAGGTAAACTTTTCCAACTCAAAAATGACTATGTCAGTCAAAAACTCAACATAGTCAAATGAGACAGTAAAAAAAATAATATTCCTTTGGCCGTCGGCGTTTTCTTTTATGAAGCACAGGCGGAGTAAGAGAAATTTATTAAAACAGTTTTATATAAAATAAAACATGAGGCACGATACAACTCAAATAGACGAAGAATAGAGACGAAGCTGATTCGCAAGCGGCGGCGGCTTCAAATAAATATGCCGCCAAAGACGCCGCCGCTTCAAAGAAATATGCCGCCAAATACGCCGCTAAAAAATCTAACCAATAAGATATTCCTGGAGTCAACGTTGACTGTATAAAACAACCAATAAGATGCATTGTTCGCACGTGGATTCGCATCCAATGTATACGGGTACGCTCAATATATTTTTCCTAAATAATAGTATAATAATTTTAACGGGCAATACGATAATTTGAGGAGACCCCAATTTTTGCCTTGTCTCATTTGAGAAACGATAGACTATAGAAGGAAATCATCAGAAGAGATGAAATTGTAACGATAATGATAGTTTTTCGATCGAATCCATCAAAGGATAATTTTGTCATACACAAAATGGAGAATGACCAAGTTTTCAGTGAAAGATAGAGAAAGCTAGGTAGGTACCTAGCAAAAAGTGTGAAGAACTATTATTGAAAACCCTACAATTAATCAGTGAGGGCGCCTTAAGCTGAATGGCAACTAGGACCTACCAAACATACCAAGCAGCACAGGTTAGTCAGTTAGTCGTTATGACGTCGATTTTAGATAGATTTACGTCGATTAATCAAAATTCGACGTCGGAAAGAGGT